ATGGAGGTCCTGTTGGTTGGCGGATCGGGCTTCAGGGAGGGTGAATTGAACCTAGTCCTGAATGGGGTTGCACTCCCTCTTAGGGACCCAGAGTTTTCACTGGAAGCTCAGGTGACAGCGGTGGCGAGGAGCGCTTTCTTTCAGCTTCGGCTGATCCATCAGCTGCGCCCCTACCTGGAGTACGACTGCCTGGCGACAGTGACACACGCGTTGGTGACTTCCCGACTTGACTTCTGTAACGTGCTCTACGTGGGGCTACCCTTGAAGACGGTCCGGATACTTCAGTAGGTTCAAAATAGAGCTGCTGGGCTGCTGATGGGGACTTGGCGTTATGTTCACATGACTCCAGTCCTCCGTCAGCTTCACTGGCTTCCCATTGAAGTCTGGGTGCAATTCAAGGTGTTGGTGATGACCTATAAAGCCCTAAACGGCTTGGGTCCTGGTTACCTGAAGGAGCGCTTACGTCCATATATGCCCGCCCGCCCCTTGAGATCTGCGGGAGAGGCCCTCCGTGAAGGAAATTAGGAGGGTGAGTACTTGGAGGAGGGCTTTCTCTGCGGTGGCGCCCAATCTATGGAATGCGCTCCCCAGAGAGGTCCGCCTGGCGCCGTCGTTATTTGTTGTTCGGCGCCAGGCAAAGACCTTTTTATTCAAATGTCATTTTAATTGTTAATAGTATTTATTCATTTTATTTTTTGGCCAGGGTGACTTAATTTATACTGTTAATTTATATTATTCTATGGAAGTTTGTTTATGTTTGTGAGCTGCCCCGAGGCTTCGACGAATGGGGCAGCATAGAAGTCTCCTAAATAAATAAATAAATAAATCTAGTCCTACTCACTGTGCAAACAGCACACCTTTCCCCATGTGTTGCTGCTGCCAGCAACAGTGAGCAGGGAAAGAAGCTTGCTCACTGGGAATGGTGGCTGGTATGTTCACTTGCAATGTCCACTTTCCCGGCATGAGTACTGCTGCCACCTCCAGCAGAAAATGGGAGAAAAAAAACAGTTGTTGAAAATGGTGGCTGCTGTGCCCTCTGGCACTCCTGCTCTTCTGCATCCTGCTGCCACTCCTGATGGGGTCTCTGAGTGATTGTGGGCTTCCTCTTGGCTAGCCTTGCTTTTCAGGACTGGGCAAAAAGGAGAGGAAGTCTGAAGGTGCTAGAGGAATATATTCCGAAATGGTTCCCAGCCCTATATGGAACTGTAGTAAAAACTAATGCTAGTTCTATCCATGAAGGGCACAGTACATATAATCATATTGTAGCTTTAATTCTAAAGCAAACTAATTGTTTTAATATAACAAAACTTCCCTAGGCTGCTATATTGTACAGTTTTTAGTCTGTTCAGGTTTCTTAATGTTGAAAAGGAATATGCATGAGGATTGTTAGTATTGACATGCTTTTGGGGTACAGTGGTGTTTTTTGATTGCTGTGGATCCTTGCAAAACATCATGAGACTTTATTCAGAAGTACACAGATATCTTGAGGAAAGATTTAAAGGAATGCACCTATCCAGCACAGTAGCTATTTTGGCTCTTTCCATCTCATCCTTGCTAAAATAAGCTGGTTTCCAAACAGCTAGGTAAGGAGAAAAAACAAAATTATTACTTGGAAACTTTCTAGAAAGAAAGCTATACTGTTTTTTCCTGGCATTTTAGAGATGGATGTTTGCCTAAATCTTTTCAGATCAGTGGGATGTCCTTTAGACATCTTGAGGTGGAGGGTAAAGGATGCTTTGAATTTCTGGATCTGAAGACAAAATAGGTCTGACCTGGAAGCTGGGAATCTGTGTCCCATTTCCCCCTGCACCACCCCATTTGCAACAGGTGTGCAAAGAACCACACCAGCTGCCTCACTGAGATTAGGAAATCATCTTTGGAAGGAGACCAGAAAGGTATCCTGTGTCTTCTGCAGCCTCTTTCTTGCCAGGTGAGGGGAAATTTGCACACCTGCAGTAACAAAGCAGTTTCTGACAACGTAATTTATTATGTTAGGTACAGCTAAGACAAACTTCTGTTGTTTAGACATTTTAATAGAAAGACATCATTTGTTGGTACTAATTGGTATTGTTCAGTTGAGACTTTTGTGACCTGCAGAGCACCATTTTCATACAGCATATTAGTGCCTGAGTACATGGCTGTATGCACACTATACATGAAGTAAAGGTGTTCATTATTTGTCAGTATTACATAGTTGATGAATTTCTGTGTTTGTCTGTTGCACTGTAAACAATAGTGCAACAAAGTCTTGTGGCACTGTAAAGTCTAACAAATCTATTATTGCATAGACTTTTGTGAATAAAAGAACTCTTAGTAACAAATGTCTATAAGGACATAGGAACCATGCTAATCAGACTGCAGGTGTCTTCAGCCAAGTTCATCCCAGGATATCTTGCAACATATTGGATGCAGGCAGTAAGCCCTGAAGTGATTCAGTGGTAAAAAGAGCAGAAATCTCAAGTCAAGTCACTTGCTCATGCTTTGGAGTCAATTCCAGGTCAAGTTGCTGACTTGACTTGAATTGGGCGTAGGAGCTAGTCACTTGACTTGAGTCCCCAACACTGGTAATTTCCTTGTATAATCCCCTAAAAAGGTTCATGTTAGTGATTTTCTTTGCATGCTGTAGTGAATTACATAATTTATGCCATATGTGAAGAAATATTTCCCTTTATCTGTTCTAAATTTTATATCGAGCTGCTTCATGGAATGATCCTGGGTTCTAGCAGCATAGTATGAAAGAGAGGGAGAAATGTTTACCTATATCCATTTTATCCACACCATGTGTAATTGTCTGTACCTGTCATATTTTCTCTCACTTGCTTTTTCTTTAAGCTAAGTAGTCCCAGACATAATAATTTTTGGTAATAAGTTTCTTTAGCACCTTGAATTTTTTGGTTGCTCTTTTCTGTGCCTTTTCTCATGCAACAACATCCTTTTTAAAGGTGTGCTAAATAGAACTGTACACAGCATTCCAAATGTGGTTATATCATAAATTTGTACAGGGGAAGTATGACATTAGTATGATATTTACAGTTCATTTTCAAATTTTGCTCAACATGGAGTTTACCTTTTCCATACTATTCTTATTCTGGTAGATATTTTGATTAACTATGAAAATGAGAGCTTCGGCTATGAGGTGATATAGAAATGAAATAAATAGTTATAATATCTACCACAACCCCAAGATATTTCTTAGTCAATCACTGCCCATCAGTATATCCTATCAACATATATTTCACTGATTGCATCTGTGTGTACATGAAGTTGAGATTTTCTTGCCCCAATGAGTATTGTACCACATTTGGTTAAATTGAACTGCATTTCCCATTTAAATGGCCATACTTCCGTTTTGAGGAGAACTTTTGAAGCATTTATGAATCACCTTTTGTTTTTACAGCTCTAAATAATTTGGTGTTACCTTCAAACATAGGCATCTCACTATTCCCCCCTAATTCCAGATTGTTTTTGCACAAATTTAAAAGCACTTGTCCCAATGCAGAGCCTCCATTACTTCACATCCTTACTTTGTGAGAATTAACTGTTTATTTTGATTCTTTACTTTCTGTTCTTTAGCAATTACCCATAATTTGACATCTTTGCCAAATTTGTTTAGGAATCATGATGAGGGACTTTGTTGAAAGTATCTGATGATGTGGACATTGTCCATGAAAACCTTTGTTATAGATACACCAGTAGAGTTTGTTACTCTCATTTTTTGTGTTGCCAGTCTTCATTTACAGAAAAGGAACACAGCTCATGGCTTGATTTTCAGTGATTCTTGTTAGGATCTATGGCTTTACTACTAGGGAGGGTAATGAAGTTGGTGAGAAGGTAGAAATATGTTTCAAATACAGGCTTTTATGTGTTTGCTGGCTGAGAACCAATTCACATGATTAAATGTTTATATTTTTAAAAGCCTGTTAAAATGGGTTGAATCAAGGCTTACTCAAGTTCTGATGTTACATAGTAGAGTTGATCAGAGAAGAAAAATAAAGGCCTAACAAACATGGGCTGGTTTGAGTCCTGGGTGATATCTTTGTATGGGAAAAGCACAGTATCAACACAGTGTCATATTCTAGCTTTTGTGTTTTACTAGACTATGGTACAATTGTAAGGGTTCTACAAAACATAAACCCTCCCAAACAAAACACTGTGGATATCAAGAAATAAAAATAAGCTATAGTTAAATTAGTGTGTATATATATATGCAGAAATATAAACCCAAAGTTTAAAAGTGATACAAAATTCAAAGGCAACACAAAGCTTGAATCCCCAAAGACTAACCTGTCACATGTATCCAGAGTTTCTATGAGTGGAATTGAGCTCACTAGATGCTTTTGTTGGAGGAAGGAGTGGGAGGCAATTTCTGTCAATTTGTTCTTTCTCCTAAATCCCCTGAAAATACTCTAGGGGTTTAGGAGATCCTCTGGAACAGTGTGATAGGTGGCACAGGGCTCTGTAGTAGAATGGAGAAATTGTGGCAACTTATTCACTCTAATGCCTTTGGGGGCCTTCAGTGAATCAGTGTCCCATCTGTAAATGGAAGGGAAACTGTATACAGGTTGTCATGTTTATCACTGAAAAATGCTGCTACTTTAGATTTTAAAATTTAAATGCTTGTATGGAATTCTAATAGAAAATACTAGAATGATAAAAACTGATCAGACACTTGCATCACAATCATTGGTGAGTCATTTGACCATAGAAGAACTATAACCATTTATGTTTTTTCATTTGTTGACATAGTATAGCTTTTTGTTCAGAATAACTTTCCCCTTTTATATATGAGTTTAAAGTCTTTTTAAAATGCCAAATGAGAATTGTAGTTTGTATTGTAACTTAGCATTAGTATCAGTTTGTATTGATGCATTTTTTACAATAATTTAATTTGTCTGAAAATATTTTAACAATGCCTTGGTATAGTTCTTTATGTTTTTAAGATATGGGATTTTCAGATACCTTTTGCTGATTGCTTTTTTGTTGGATTCTGTTTTGGATAGCTTGAAGATGGACATACGTTATTTGATTATAATGTTGGACTGAATGATATAGTTCAGCTTTTGATACGCTCAGAGTCTGATGCACCTACTACTCCATTGACTAATAAAGATGGAAAGCCCAGTCCCAGCACAGTTGCCAATTGTAAGAACAAAGTCAAACAAGGAGCAAACAGTGGATCATCTAATCTACCATCTACATCAGCCCGCTCGTTTCTTATTGATCCTGGCATTGGGCAGTACAAGGTATTTGTATTTTTTTTGTAATAGTTAATTGTATCTGCTTGTTTAGTATAATAGGTTATGTAAATTATATTCCTATGATTATTGTGAGGTTAATTTTTATGAAAATCTTAAATATCTAAATCTGGTAGCTTACATTCAAAGAAGCATGGGTAGCAGGTGACTTTCTTACTCGCTGCTCCCTCCAGCAGGCTTCCTTACAATCTCCCCTGAGGGTTGAGTGTTCTTGAATGGGGTGGCCTGTGATATGAGGAGCTGAGTGAGAAGGATGGATCACCAAGAATCAGGCATGAGAACCTTCTGTGAGTGGAAACTAAGCATGGGAACCTTCTGTGAGTGGAAACTAAGAACAACTCTGATCTTATTTCCCTGATCTCTTAATATCATACAAAAAGTGATATAGGCATAGTGTTATCAGTTGCCTAACCTTGGTTATGCAATAGGTCCTCATTCCTCCTGCCACCACTATCACCTTCTTTGAGTCTGCAGTTTTCCCCTCTCATCCTAATTATAGTTACCATTTATAGTGATAGTAATGCTGACTGCATTTGCACATAATTTAAAGTCCTAATTTGTTTAACTGAATAGTAGCTTGTTAGTATACGTGAACCTTTCCCAGGGCAACTAAATACAGTAGCAAAGTATGATTTGAAACCTTGGCATGCAATAACTAGTCCTTATGCCCCAACTGATTTTGCCTTCATCCTGATTTGTTTCATCAGCTACAGATGAGGAAAGCAAGAGGGACTAGAAAATCAACCCATTTGCCTAGCTAAGCCTCTCTTGCTAGTTCTTTTCAAAATGTTCTGTTTTTCCTCATCCTGTTATGGTATCAGGGTTCCTTTTCCTGTCGAAGTTCCCTGACAAGCCCTCTCAAGCCAGTCCACCTAGCTTCACAGCAGCTTTATAAAGAGAAAAAAAATTTAAAGGATCTTTGCTACAAGTACAAAAAGTACAATGTACTCCAGTAGGCTACCTTAATTGTTAACACCTACAGGCAATTAAAACAGGTTCTGTTTCAAATTTAAAATTCTCTTGCAGTTCTCAAGCTCTGAGGTGGTGTCTCAGTCATGATGTGGTATTCAGTGCCTTGTTGACTAATTAAATGGCAAAGATAATTTTACATTATGTTTATGGACTTCTTTTTGAGTTGCAGGAAGGTAACCTGCAGAAAGAAAAAAAAACCTTTCTTGCTTTGAGATGGTAGGAAAAGTTAAAAATATGGGAATCAAGCCTCCATGGGATCTGTCTGGGAATGAGAGATGGGGAAGAAGTTTGTTTGGCTTGTGGAGGCATGGTGTGATCATGCCCAGTATAGGTGTGCCATGAAGGCATTTAGAATGTCTGTCAGATTTTTGAGGGGGGTGGGGGGAACAAGCCCTGATTGGGTAAAGCAAACTGCAGGACTTTTGCTCATCTCTGAGACCAATCTTAGTTGGCTCAGCAAACCATGGTTAAAACAGGTTGTGGTTTGGTGTATGAACATGGCCCTAACTGCAGTTATGCCTAACTCGTGTCTGGGAGGTGTTTTCAGAATATTGTTTAAGTAGTATACTTGATAACTTAGAGCTTACTTTGGTTTAATTTGCTTACAACATCACTGGTCAGGTAGGCTGCATGTACAATTCATGCTTAGGGAGGGCATTGGCTTTCACCCATTGTTTAGCCATGTCATTATAAAATTGAATGTTTGTTGTGTTAAGCAAGTGGTTTTGTACAATACTGATTATTGTGAAAATGCACTTTTAGCAGAATTTATCATTTTTGAATTGTTTTTATTTTGTACATTGCTATCCTTAAAGTCAGCCTAAAAGTAATTCAGAATAAATAAGACAATGACTAGGTTAATTTCTAATTCAAGATGAGAATTGTTATTTTGGTCTTTCACTATAAAAAAGGACAATGCAAGCTAGCTTTAGTGTGTGAATAACCATGACAACAAGGCACATTAAGAGGAAAATATCAGTTCAAATGAAAGCATACAATGAATATAGGTGAATGTGTGGAGATAGTACTAGCTGAATCAAAAAGTATGAATATAAATTCTAAATCCTTTGAAGTAAGATCAGCTAAGACATTTGCAGAAGATATAGATGAAATATTTACTAGAAGAAATCTCTGACCATTTAGAAAGTAGTATACACCAATTACTGAAAACATCACATACATCATAAACGGTGGTCAAAGAACAGCACAAAAGCAAAATGACATTGACGATATTTAGTCCAAGATAGTTGAGACAATTGCATGGATAACAGTACTGACAGAGTTCTGTGATATCGAAAGAGTTTGTTGAAGGCAGTTCTTGAATCAGAATTAATGCTTCTCAAATATTTGCCATGGATAAGAAAACTGGTTATAGCATACTTATCTATGTTTCTTTCCTCATTCCCAGGAATCATTTTGATAGAAGTAGTAAGACTATAGCATGAGATTCCAGAAAAGCAGCAATGAGACATTAGCGTGTGCATTTTCTTTAAGGGTCAGGCTACACTGCCTCATTTTAGAAGGGTAAAAGATACAGTCTGTTGTAAGGTATACATGTAGCTATGAGGTTTAACATGCCAAACTTTAATTACAAGAGTGCACAATATTGAGGGGCTCATTATGTCTAATATAGTCAGCATTTATCTAGTACTAGAAAAATGTTCATGTGACCTTTTACATTTTTCTAAACTTGATGCTCCTATTAAATCCTAACAATTTTTAATATTTCAGCTGGTTGATGGTGCAATCTTCTCTGTGTTTAGATAGCATATGACTTGTTGGGGATTGCTGGAAATAGTTTTTTCTCCTGCCTAAACATGCACAGAATTGTGCCCTTGCTGTGACCACTTTGAGAACTTTATTGGTAGGGAGGGTAGAATTGTATTTGTAATAATGACTTTGAAAGGATGACTAGTAACTGGACACTATATGCTTGATCTAGAATCAGATATTCTTCATTGTCAATATTTTATGTTTTAATACTAAATGGCCTTCATTGAGGTCATAATGGCCTGATTTGCACAATCAGGAAGGTAAAAGAACCCAGGGTAGTGTGCTGGTCATCCACCTTGCCATTTCCATAATTACCTGCACTGTGCTCAAGCTGCCATGTCATCTGAACCAAGTGAGGCATTCCAGGGTGGCTTAGAACCTGCCTCCACTGTTTGCTTTCGTTGGGTTTAGATTATATGGAAACCCACATTCAGCACACACAATTATGGAAATGAGATGGCACAGAGCTGGCATGCATGGGCTGGGGAAAAGAAGCTGCCATGGCTTCTTTCCTTCCCTGATCATGTAAGCCCAGTCTGTATGTCTTTAAATGCTTACCGTACCTGAAAAATAATTTACTTAGAATTTATGTTATTAGTGCCATAGACTGGAATAAGTGAAATACAACACAAGCTTTTCTGTATCGTATGTTTTCTTCTATATGGTTGTAAATTATTTTTATAATATTTTGATATATTTTCATTCATTTCCAGAGTTGTGGAGATCCAGATTTCTTAAATGATTTTGCAGACTGTGTTTCAAGTGAGCCTGTGTGTTAGTTTGATTTGGCTGAAAATGTAGAAAGCTTTTCTCATGCCTCATTTAATATTCAGTTACCATAGAAATTTGCTGATACTGAACTACATACTGCTGCAGCTGGAATTCAGGCATTGTTAATGGTTCAGTTCTTAGAAGCCTATTATGAGAGCTCATGAGTTTAGTAATAACTTACCTAAGGTCATAACTCTCAGTCTACTTATGTAAAAATAGTAAAATTTAATTCTTTGAGTTTTTAAATCTAATTTATTGTGATCTAGTGGGTGTCCTGTAGGCCAGATCCATCTCATCTGGCCTGTTCTTCTGCCCATTCCTCTTCTCTACTTCAGTGGGAGTAGGAGAAAGGACACTGAAATATCCATAAACATGGTTTGAGGGACAAATTAGAAAGGAGTGCACAAAATGGAAATGGGGGAGCTGGTGCTGTTACGGCTGGTACAGGAACACACATAATTGTAAATTATAAAAAAGAGTTTAACTGCATGCAGTCGTTGAAATCATTTTATGAATTCATTCTTCATCCCTTTGTGTTCTGACTGTCCCCTTGACTCAGTAACCCACAGTACCCTGGACTAGCAACACCCTTCTTTTTGGCAATACACGTCTCTTTGTTAATGTGTGAAATTTTTTCTTCACACTTCTTCCATTGACATTTTGCCTCTCCAGTCTCCTGAGTGAAAGCAAACTGCAGTGGCATAGGCCAGGATTAGACAACCTGATGCTGTCCAGATGTTACAGAATGTAACTTCTGTAATCTCTGGCTACTGATCATGCTGGCCTGGCATTGTGGGTATTGTAGTCAAAACATTTTGCTTAAGCATTTTTCTGGGTGAAAGCATACATCAGGTAAGCTGCTGCCTGCCAGATGTTTTGTGCTGTGACTCCCACAGTTCTTGACCATTGGCTATGCTAGCTGCGACTTACAAATGTTGTAGTCCAAAACATCTGGGGGACACCAGGTGGCCTACTCCTGCATTAGAAAGACATCCGTGTTAAAAATTACCATAATTTCCAGTGTTCCCCATGGGTAATGAAACAAAGGTCTCATCAATATAACAGTGGTTTTCTGTGTGGTGGTGGATCAATTTCATGCACACATCTAAATCCCAAGAGATTCTTTCATATCACAAGGTGACTATACAAGTGACTATTACAAGTTTCTGAGGGACCTAGGGTGCAGTCCTCTCTCATGCTTAGACAGATGTCCCGCAACTTCCTGGCCAGTCATTCACACATGTATTTGTCCTTATTGCAATCAAAATAATAATAATAATAATAATAATAATAATAATAATAATAATAATAATGATAATACATGGGAGTTGTATTGGATAAATGGTACATGTGTTCGTGTATGAGCCCCAGTGTGCTACTCCTGCCTTTTCTTGATTTTTAAATATAAAATTTATTTTTAAAGACTGTTTCTGTAAACCTTTATTTAAAGTGTATTCATCTTATAATTTTAGATAGGGACATATCTTCAGTTTTTGCATTTGTCTACAGGATAATACTATCTGCATTCATGCTTATGTGAAAAGTACTATTCAATAGGCCAGTTGACTCTCCTTCTGCAACATGAATTTTTAAAGAATATATTTTAAAATGTCTTCTTCAGTGTTAGCAGGTGAATCATGCCTCGCACAAATGCAGAATTATGGTTGATTGTAATATGCCAGCATAGGTTAATATGAGAGTTTACGTTCCTCTTTTGTGGTGTATACTTCATATGAATCTACCATGTTATACCTCTATGTTTCGTTATTCAAAGTACAGAGTGAATGAATGTATACATGTTTATTAGCACGAATAGATGTTTACAGGGACATTTGTATCTTGGTTCATATTTCAAAGTTGTATCTGTGTTTATATTCAGCCATTATTAAACAAGCCACATATTTTCAATAATATTGTAAGTCTTAATGAGTAAATTTCCTTACATTAAGTATGCAAGTTTTTGTTTCATGTAATTAATTTAAAATTGGGATGATCTGTCTTGAAATATCTATTGAATTGGTATACATTAGACAGCTAAGGGTGCAGTCTATTGGCTGCTAGAGAGGGTTGAAGTTCCAGCTCTCCCAGTTTAGCAATGGGTTCCAAGGTTTGGAACTCCAACCTTGGAGTACTTTTCCTCTGCCCGTTGGCTAGGCGTTCTGCAGGATGGTGGGGAACGACAAATGAAGTTCTGCCAGGGCGATGCTGTAGCTGGGCAGGGCCTCAGCCTCATGGCAAGCTAGAGAGTACAACACTTGGCAGAAAACTGGTTTATGAGATGGGAAAAGTGTAGAAATGATAATCACCTCCATGCTCCTTCCGCATTTGACAAGATGCCTCAAATCCTCCAAGTTCAGAGGGTTAGAGGCAGTCACAGTGGATAGTACTGTAGAAGAATATGAGGTGATCTGTATTAAATATATTACTGAATAGGCTGACAATTTAATGTCAGTTTTAATAAAGTATTTGACCTAGGAGATGCTAAGATTCATAAAAAGAGTATTCCATTTTATGTTCTGTTATTAAATTACTTAACTGTGGGGAATAGACACATTTTTATGAGTAAACATACAGTTTAATATATAAGCAAATTTAAGGGCTTTATATTTGTTAATTATCTACTTTAATTCTCTGGAAATTTATACTGCTGCATTTTTGTGTTCCAAATTGCTATGTTCCAAATGTTGTTATACCCTAGCATTGTTGTATTCCAAAATATTTTCATACACACACATACGATCTCGATCCTCTCTCTCTCTCTTACTGTGAGCCTCCCAGAGAATAATATTGTTAATGTTTTATAAATATAGGGTAGAATTTAACTGTGTTATCTGCCAGATAGTGCTGGTGGGCAGATTCACTTTCCTCCCTGTGGTCCCTCTGCATTGGCCAAATCTGCCCTAGCATGTGAGGTGGGTAACTTCTGGAACAGATTTGGTGGAGGGGTGCCAATGGGGAGGAAGGGAAAGGTAAGTCTTGTGTGAATGGAAGTCTTCTTGCACAGCATTGGATGTTATCCATGATAAATAAATGTGTACCTAGAAGATTGTGACCATTAACTTCATTAGAATAAGTATAGATATGTCCCCCCATAACTTAAAAAAGCATCTTCGTTTTTATTAAGTAGGAAGTGTATGCTTTTGGGAAGCACTCGGCTACCAAAGAAGGGTGTTTTTAAGCGAAGCAAAGCGAAGCAAATAGTTGGGAGGGGCCTAGAAGGCCATTGGGGCGAGTTCTTTTATACAGATAATTCAATTTTTTGTTTAAAATCTCAGAATAGCATAACCATGGAGGGAGGACATTGTTATATGCATCACGAGTGATGATATGGCCCCTGCCCAATTAATCCATTGTGATCTTTTTTCTGCAACCAGATTCCAAACTGTTGGTAGTAGGAATGCTAGGAGGAATAAAAACAGGTGGCAAAAATGAGTATTTGGAGGATATGTGTTCCTGAGGGGAAGACATCTGGATTGAATGCAACAAATGAAAAACTACATTTATTGTGTAAAAAGTGATTATCTTGCAAGGATTAGATAATGCACTGTTTTCTTAGAGAGATTATATGCAAAAAGGAATGTCAGTTTCCACTAGCCATGCAAAATGTTTGACTTGGAAAACGATTTATAAATTCAAGGGGAAAGAACAGGCTTTAAGTGAACTGTGGAGGAGAAAGTATGTAGGGAAAATATAATTATGAAGAAAGTAGTGAATAGGCTAGTAAAATCAGGATAGATTGAAATGTTATTAGGAAGTTTGGTGATTATGAATGGTATTGTGTTTACTTTTAAGGATAAGAATATGAAGGTAGAACCTAAGTTAAGTTTAATATGACACAGTTGCATTGTACAAAGGGTCAGAATGTCCTCATTGTTAAGTTAGTTGTTAATTTTTTCAGCTTAACAATCACTAAATGTTGAATTTATTTTTAGATAAATGAATTGGTGGATGCCCGAGATGTCACTATTGGATCCTGGTTTGAAGCTCATATAGAAAATGTGACACGTGCAACAAAAGGACATAAAAACGGAAAAGCTCAAGGAAAGAGTGGCAGTAATTACAAAAGGACTAATGGGAACATAAGCCAAGATCACTCTAGAGAAAATACAAATAATTTGGACAATGCACCTTCCACATCTTACTCAGATTATATGGACACTGATGAAGATATTATTTATCATATCAAGTATGATGAGTAAGTGCTGCTGATATTATTATGAGGACACCATGTGAGTTATATGGTTGGTACCAGCTAAGCATTTTCACAAGTAATTGGAATCCTTAAGAAAACAAGTTCACATTTCAAGTCTAAAGGAAACAGCATTTAAAAAGTCATAAAACATTTTTCTTTGATCTAATGCATTTCCTAGGAGTGACACAATCTCTTCTGGGATTTCAGATGAAATATTTACTTAAGTTCTTTCCTTTCAGAAACTCAGCTTTTCACAGGATGTGAGACCATAAAGAAGACTGGCAGTACTATTTTTGTTGTAGCCGATATGTTTGAGAAACAGATGAGTTCACTGTAACTTTTTTGAATGTAGAAGGCTTGAGTTCAAACAGGTTAATATTCTAGGTAATACAGAATTTAACTAATCTTATAGTGAGCAACACCTAGGGGGAGATGGTACGATAACCACTGAAAACAGTATCCACAGGTCTGTGGTTCTGTTCACATGGCAGGATCACCCACCTGCCATGGTGCAGCCAGGCTACCTTCAGCTACCATTCTGAATATGTAGCACTCACTTGGCATGTTCATGTTGTCGAAACCCAATGAACATAAGTTACATAAAGTTTAAACAATCTGTAGTTTGTTTTAGGTTTATTTGAGGGTCATGTAAGCTTTGCATAATCCACATTCATCAGATTTGCACAGCACAGAATCCCCCAACCAGGATTGGATGTACAACTTGGTGGCCACAGCCACTGCAGCTTGACTGGACCCAGTCTTTGTGTACATGTACCTTGGTGGTTCCTGCTTGGTAAATTGGAGATGTTTGTTTTAAATTGATACCTTGGTAGAGGAAGATTTAATTCTGCCTAGTGCAAGATTGCAGTGTATACTGTCCCATCACTGATGTCTCGGCATGGTTCACAATAACAGCAATAAAATAAGATAAAAAATAAAAGTAGCACAGCATCCAGTAAATATAAAAAACACAGATGAAGACAGTTAGCAATTAAAATAGTGGGAAAATAAAAAGGGTTGCACCTGACCCTGAAAGGAAAGAAGTGTTCGCACCAGGTGAACCTCTCTGGGGTGCATGTTCCACAGTTGGGACACCACCACAGAGAAGGCCGTGCTTCAGGTAGCCACCCTTTTAATCTCTTAAGGAGGGCTCCCGAAGAAAAACCTGCCTCAGATTTCAAGGGGTGGGAGGGCACATGAGGAAGAAGGCGCTCCTTCAGGTATCCAGGACCCCAGCCATTTAGGGCTTTATAGGTCATCACCAGCACCTGAAATTGGGCCTGGACTTCAATTGGTAGCCAGTGTAAGTGATATGTGGATACCTGCTGGTCCCCATTGATATCCTGGCAGCTGTATTGTGAACCAACTGAAGTATCCAGACCGTCTTCAAGGGCAGCCCCACGCAGAGTGCGTTACAAGTAAGTCAGTAGTGAAGTTATCATAGCATGGGTCACTGTTGCAAGGCAGTGCTCAACCAGGTGAGGGCAGAGTTGGTAGACCAGCCACCTTGCCACCACTGCCACCTGAAATTCCAGGGACAGCTCTGGATTGAGGAGCACTCCCAAACTGCGCACCCAGTCCTTTAGGGGTAGTACATCCCATCCAGAACAGGGCAGATATCATTCACCTGGAGGGCTGAAATGCCTTGGATGCATTTATATTATTGTATGATAGTTGTAATTTCCTCAATCATTTTGAAATCAAACTCTGTTAATTGATGTCATGACTGTGGTGTCAAGTGGGAGGAAATAATATTTAAAATCAATATGTGGCTGTTCGATATTCTTCTGAAAGTACAATGCAGTTATAACAATTATAAATCTACTTAGGGTACAATTCTGTTCATGTTTGGACAGAAAAAAAATACTGCAATTCCCAACATTATTAGATAGCCATGTTGGCCAGGGAGCACTAGGAATTACATGATTTCCTTTCTGTCTAAATATGCATATGATTGTGCCCTTGAATGATTTGGAATGTAGCCTTTAAAGTATGAAACCACTAGCAGTTTTTTGTAGTTTAACTGCTAAATTATTTAGGCTACCCTGTGAAATCACATTTTTCCATATTTATACTATCAGGTATAAACATCAAAGTGTGATTTTTAAAAACTATTTGACATACCAACATCTTTCAATTTGGTAAATAATCAGTTTAGGGTTGTTCTTAGAGAAACTTAGTACTTTGCTAAGTTGCAAGTTATGCTGTGAACTTGAGTCTAGTTCATTTTTATGGTGGGGGGAGCACAGTCCTAAATTTGTTTGGAAACAAAAACATTCTACAACTCCCAGCATCCCCCAGCCAGACATGGAGTTAATGAAGTAGCATCTAAGAAGGCCAGTTGTGCAATGAAAGGGCACATTCAGATGCTACTTCGGTATCCTGGTTAAGAAACTACTTCTTCAACATCTGTTCTTGTCAGATCTTTTCAGATAATAAATACAAAGCTCTGATAAATGTATCTTGTAAAATTATGCTTTGTTCATATTTTAAGCTTGTAATCCAGTGCACACTTAGGAGTAAGCCACATTGAATACAGTGAGTCTTTCTTCAGATTAAGTAACCACAGGACTTCATTATAAGGGAAAAATTGAATGTTCTCCTGACATTGAATGCTAGCTCTTGCAGCCAGCATGGTTTTCTCTGTGTGAGCTGGTATGGGGGCATTTCCAGGGGGTATAAAAGGGAGTAAGGCACCCATACCTTCTGAAGAATTTTGGTGGTGCTCAGCCTTTTCTTTTGCAAGTGGGAGACAAACATTTAGATGGATGAAATTGGCCACCTAAATGTTTGGGAGGACCAAAGGTTTCCATAGTCCTTCTCTCTTCTACTTTAGGCTTATAAACTAATTTGTTTGAGTATGGGCAGCTACACAGGATGGCTCTCTCTGTGTTTTACTTTTTTTTCTTCATTTGTCGTGTGGTCTGATCTGTTGTGATTGCTGTGAATTCCAAAGCTAAGTGTAAGTTCTAACATTTATTCAATTTAGGCGGGGAAAGTAAGAGAAGAACGTGTCCAGCTGAAATCAGGTGGATTGATTCAATAACTGCAAAAACAAAAACCAGCCCAAATCGACAAATCCTGAATTAAGCTTGAAATTCACATGCTTCCTGACCAACATGCATACTAATTAGTCTATATCAATTTTTAAAACTTTGGTTTCTAACTAAATAAAACTTTTATACAACCTAGGAATATATTTCAAAATCCTTGATCTCCTAGTCCAAATGTAATTTGTGTTACAGAATTATATTTTTATAGGGAAGGATGCTAAAGAACTCTATACAAGTATATTCACTTGAATACTAAAGTGTGTCATTCTAAGTATGCTTGCTTAGTGGTAAGTCCTGTTGGTATCTGCTTTTGAGTATATATGGTAAGGATTGCTCTGAAAATGTTCAGAACCATTTCTCAAGCAAAGGTGATACTTTTTGGACATCGATTTACGTACTGTCTTTAGTTCTGGGGTTTGCAGACATGAAGACTGTAGGACTGTAGGAAAAGACTGCATAGACTTGTTTAGGTCTGAATTGTTCTTTTATGTCCAGTATTCATGTGTTATTACTGATTGGTTGTTTTTACCAGGATCCAAAGAACCATTTAACTAGTCTTGTCTACCCAAAATGGTTTTGGATATGTTTTCTGAAACCACCAAGTCATATAGCAATCCAGTTTTGAATCTCAAAAGAGTTTGAAAAACTATTTGTGAGGGATAGGGAGAATGATTGATGAAAGAATAACATTGCATGAGAGTCTGCAGGTAAAAGTAAAGTCGGGGGGGGGGATTTCCATCAGTACATTATCCACTGGGACATGCCTAAGGAGCTATTTTACTCTCCTACAATAGTATATACCACACTACAGCAGATTCCTTAATTATGTTTAAAAATTTGTATTCCAGTTGTGATTCCATAAAATATTTGATTCAGCTATTACATTTTTAGGCCCGTAGGAATAAAAACCTAAAACTGGTTCAAATGCTAATGAAAAAGTGGGGAACCTGTGACCCTCCAGATGTTGTTGCATTCAAGTTTTCATCTGTCTCAGCCAGCACTATCAGTGCTTGGGGATGATGGGAGTTACAGTAGACCAACATGTGGAAAGCTGACAGTTCCTCACCCTTGTGCTAATAGTTTGGACCTAGAGTTTCCATGAGTAGAATTCTGCTCAAAGGCTGTTCCTGCTGAAGGAAGGAGGCAACAATTTTTATCAATTCCTCTTTCCTTTTGCAGCACCTAGTGCCACCTTCTATGCTTGTGAGATCCTCTGGAGCAACATGGAAGGTAGTATAGGAGGTTACTGGAGAAAGAAAGAATTGACAAAAATTGGTGAAAGTCCCTGCTCTCTGTAACCTTCATGAGTAGAAGGAGCTGATGACTTCTTGTATATACTGAGAAATAATCAGTTGTTCTCATTTTCCCCAATTCTTTCTGTAGTGTTACAGTATTTTTTTTAATTATATGGTCCCCTACTTACTCCTTTCTTGCCATTTCTGTGTTTAAGAGTCTATTACATAATTTTCTTAGGAATTCTATATCTGTGTTTAGATAGCATTGTTCTAGAGCTCTAGGTCAGAGGTCCTTGAAATATTTTTTTCCCATCTGTGCATGCCTTGATGTATGGTGTGAGTACCTTCCTGCTCAATTTTCTTCTGACTGCCATGTTAATAGCAAGTCCAGGAATATAGCTCTCATCCATAATGTATTTAAAATTTTGTTTTTCAGTGCATATTTGCTTCCATTTTTTTCTTAGCTTTAGTGCTTAGTAGGCATTGCTCTAAGTTCTGTTGCACTGGGTTTTTGCTTGTGCCCATAGCACAGCATATGCCTTTTTAAAATACCACAGCTGGGGGGAAATGTGTGGTACATGTAAATGCCTCTGTGAGGTACACTTAAATAGATCTGCATCTACATTACTTGTAGTTGTACTAGGCAAGTGTATCACATGAGTTCCTTGAGACTTCAGGCATTCTTATGGGAAAAAGTGCTGGCAGCCTTTTGTGG